CACAGCAGATTTCACGATTATTAGATTACACTGATACCGAAGGAACTAGACTCAGTTCCGAAATATCGCATACACGAACCGTCCTGACCGCGTAGCTCAGTTGAAAGAGCATTGGGCTAGTATTCCAAAGGTCGAAGGTTCGAATCCCGCCGTGGCCAGGCATATTTTTCAAGCCTGCCCGGTGTGGAATACACTCAGAGTAACATCACGCAAACATCTTATTCACCTGAGTACATTACACTAACACAGCAGATTTCACGATTATTAGATTACACTGATATCGAAGGAACTATAGACTCAGTTCCGAAATATCGCATACTCGAACCGTCCTGACCGCGTAGCTCAGTTGGAATTAAGAGCATTGGGCTAGTATTCCAAAGGTCGTAGGTTCGAATCCCGCCGTGGCCAGGCATATTTATCAAGCCTGCCCGGTGTGGAATACACTCAGAGTAACATCACGCAAACATCTTATTCACCTGAGTACATTGCACTAACACAGCAGATTTCATGATTATTAGATTACACTGATATCGAAGGAACTAGACTGAGTTCCGAAATATCGCATACTCGAACCGTCCTGATCGCGTAGCTCAGTTGGAAGAGCATTGGGCTAGTATTCCAAAGGTCGTAGGTTCGAATCCCGCCGTGGCCAGGCATATTTTTCAAGCCTGCCCGGTGTGGATATACACTCAGAGTAACATCGCACAAACATCTTATTCACCTGAGTACATTACACCAACACAGCAGATTTCATGATTATTAGATTACACTGATATCGAAGGAACTAAACTCAGTTCCGAAATATCGCAAACTCGAACCATCCTGACCGCGTAGCTCAGTTGGAAGAGCATTGGGCTAGTATTCCAAAGGTCGTAGGTTCGAATCCCGCCGTGGCCGGGCATATTTTTCAAGCCTGCCCGGTGTGGATATACACTCAGAGTAACATCACACAAACATCTTATTCACCTGAGTACATTACACCAACACAGCAGATTTCATGATTATTAGATTACACTGATATCGAAGGAACTAGACTGAGTTCCGAAATATCGCATACTCGAACCGTCCTGATCGCGTAGCTCAGTTGGAAGAGCATTGGGCTAGTATTCCAAAGGTCGTAGGTTCGAATCCCGCCGTGGCCAGGCATATTTTTGAAGCCTGCCCGGTGTGGAATACACTCAGAGTAACATCACGCAAACATCTTATTCACCTGAGTACATTACACTAACACAGCAGATTTCATGATTATTAGATTACACTGATATCGAAGGAACTATAGACTCAGTTCCGAAATATCGCATACTCGAACCGTCCTGACCGCGTAGCTCAGTTGAAAGAGCATTGGGCTAGTATTCCAAAGGTCGAAGGTTCGAACCCGCCGTGGCCAGGCATATTTTTCAAGCCTGCCCGGTGTGGAATACACTCAGAGTAACATCACGCAAACATCTTATTCACCTGAGTACATTACACTAACACAGCAGATTTCACGATTATTAGATTACACTGATATCGAAGGAACTATATTTTTCACCCTGCTCGGTTTCCTTTGTTCTTATCGGGGAATATATTCAATATTGCCCTCTAATCAATTTCCGTTTAATAATCCCCTCTAATATTCACCTGCAATTAATAATCCCCTCTAATATTCACCTGCAATGTCTTTGCAGCACAAAAATGAGAAAAAAACAACATAACAAAGGCAATATGGCATTAAGAATTATTTCTATTCTGACTCATTAACGCGACCTCGCATTGTGAAAAATAAGTACGTTATTTTGAGGGACCTCGGGGATATGTGTTTATTCACCTCGGCGCTGCGCGCCTCGGTGAATAAATCACATATCCCCTCGTTGCCTCAAAATAACCTATACAGATTTCATGATTATTAGATTACACTGATATCGAAGGAACTAGACTGAGTTCCGAAATATCGCATACTTGAACCGTCCTGATCGCGTAGCTCAGTTGGAAGAGCATTGGGCTAGTATTCCAAAGGTCGTAGGTTCGAATCCCGCCGTGGCCAGGCATATTTTTGAAGCCTGCCCGGTGTGGAATACACTCAGAGTAACATTACGCAAACATCTTATTCACCTGAGTACATTGCACTAACACAGCAGATTTCATGATTATTAGATTACACTGATATCGAAGGAACTAGACTGAGTTCCGAAATATCGCATACTCGAACCGTCCTGATCGCGTAGCTCAGTTGGAAGAGCATTGGGCTAGTATTCCAAAGGTCGTAGGTTCGAATCCCGCCGTGGCCAGGCATATTTTTGAAGCCTGCCCGGTGTGGAATACACTCAGAGTAACATCACGCAAACATCTTATTCTACCTGAGTACATTGCACTAACACAGCAGATTTCATGATTATTAGGTTGATATCAACAGGCGTGAACAAGGTTGTGCGGCCAATCAGATTCCTCCCTGAAACGGATTATCCCAGAGCCCACGTTCCTTCCCGAGGATCGGAGGCTCGGGGAACGAGATTGACGGTCAGCGTTTCCACTTGGAAGGAAATTTCCTTCCAGAAGGAAATTTTGGCCTTTGGAAGGAAATTTGGAAGGAAATAGCATTTGGAAGGAAATTGGGAGGAAATATTGTTATAAGGAGGTAAATGAGAAGGAAATTCTATTTTATCTCATAATCTGTAAGAATAAGGCAATTTTCATACAATTTTGTTCAAAAAATGTCGTAAATGCTGTCCTGGAGCATCTACATAGTTGCCAACTCTCACGGATCCACCGTGAGCATCATGATTTTACTAAAACCTCACAGTGAGCTCACAGCTTGTTAATATCTCACGGATTTCGGAAATAACCCAACTGGTTCTTAATATGTTGGCTTTGTTGCACATCTTAACTATTAAGAGTGTCTTCATTTGCATCAAATTACATAAAACCTTTTTCTTCTTTTTTTCTTCACGCTATTAAGCCAAAAATAGTTAATCAAACTCGTGCTCGTGGGTATTCAACAGTATGGTTTTGTATATCTAAATAAAAGCTACCAAAACTTGTGTGTATATTAGGTATAGAAGACTCTGAAAATGCCATTTCCAACGATTGGAGACTCCATATTTTCAAAATTTTCTGCTCGGTGCCAACCATGGTGGCGCTTCGTGGCCTCCAAAGCGAAATCTCACAAATGTTTTTTTTCCAAAGTTGTCAACTATGTATCTACTATCTAGGACAGGACCCCATAATCCCTATATTGAAATATCAACCAAAACTCTTACCCAGGGTATTATTTCTCAGACTCAACTAGCGTGGGCAGGAAAGACCCTAGGGCATTCTTGTGTATGTGTTCAGGGGGGGAGAGATGCAAGAAACAGCAAGTAGCCCCCAATTATTATTCTTTTTGTCCGCCCGGGGCGAAGATGAGCTGATTTTAACCTACAAAATACAGAGTTATCTGCTATAAATTAATATACTGTGTTTCAATACTAGAGTTTAGATGTTAATTACCAGGTAAATCTGTCAATTTTGATAAAAATTTTGAAGGAAAAATGGAAGGATATTTAGAGATTTTTGGAAGGAAATTTTGTGGGAAAAAGAAGGAAAAAGGAAATTTCGGGTTATGGAGAAGGAAATTATTTTTTGGGAGTGGAAACACTTAACTATGAAGGAAGAATCCAATCTCGTTCCCAGAGTATGCCTGTTCGCGGGTTAGGTTGTGGCATGACCTAACCCGCGAACAGGCATACTCTGGGAACGAGATTGGGAAGAATCGTCAAGTCGACTCAAGTGGTGAGACTTGAAAGAGTCTGAAAATGGCAAAGGAATGTGTTGATTTAACACTGAAATATCCATTAAATGATGGAAATTTCATTCCTGTTTTAGGTCTTGGAGTAAGTACGTTTATGAATAATAGGATGTCCAAGGATGATGTTGAGGGGACTTCTCGGTCAGTCAGTATTGCTTTGAAACAAGGATATCCTATGATTGATACAGCGGAGATATACAAGTAGGTTCAAATTTGCGAGCAAATTTGTTCGTTTAGGAAATAACTCGTTACTCGTGTATATGTCCCTTAATTACGTTGTTTACATTTTCCGGCAGTCAAACGTTTTTGTTGTGAATAGAAAACATAATCTTTGTATATCGAATGGGCTATTCCAATTATTATCCGCACCCCCCCTGTTGAGGAACCTTGGAATTTCCAGGGGAGGGGGTGCATTAACCTTGGAATTTCCAGGGGAGAGGTGCATTAACTTCAAATATCCAGGGGAGGGGTACATTAACCTTGGAATTTCCAGGGGAGAGGGACAGAGGGTACATTAACCTTAAAATTTCCAGGAAAGGGGGCATTCTGGCTCTGGAATTCCAAGGGGAGGAGTAATTCTCACATGGAATTTCCGAGGGAGGGGTAAATTTCATGGGATGGAAATTCCATGGGAGGACAAATGTTAGATGAAATTTCCGGGAGTAAATTTCCCATGCTGCAAATTCCATAGGGAGGGGTAATTTACACATGGAAATTCCATGGACAGGGCCAAATTTTAAATGGAAATTCCATGGGAAGGCCTAATTTAAAATAGAAATTCCATGGGCAAGGGTAATTTTTACAAGGAAATTCCATGGGAAGGGGTAAATTTTACATGAAAATTTGCGGAAATTCCAGGGGAGTATCGACATGAGAAAGGGGTTCCTCACATAGGCGTACCGGAAGGAAAAAATTAGGGGGGCGGAAAGAAAATTGCCCGACTTTTTGGGTTTCTGCCCGACTAGTACCAAAAAAATTTTTCCGGAAAAATTATTTTGGCGACCCCCCCCGTCACCAAAAAAATTTCGGTCAGTGTACCATTTTAGGGGTCAAAAAAATTTTCCGGACAACCAATTTTTTCGGAGCATAACACAAATTTTCAAAAAATAACAAAATTTGCCAAAAAATCGACTTAATTTTAGACAAAATTTACAGAAGTTCTCCCATTTTTTTTTATTGCAAACCAAAATTGCCCGACTGTTGATCGAATATTGCCCGACTGCCCGAAAAACTGGGGGGCTACCGCCCCCCCCGCCCGGTACGCCTATGGTTCCTCAACAGGGGGGTGCGGATAATAATTGGAATAGCCCAATTTGCGGATTCGCCTGAATTTTCGCCAAGGCAAGGGGTAATCAGAAATCACCAACTTTGTATTGTTGTGTCATATTGAAATTAGCTATTAAATTATGTGCCCAGGTCACCCCCCCCCCCCTCCCCCCAATAATTGTGGATAAGACATTTCAGGTAAATGTCAGATAAGTTTGGTAGAAAATCAGGTAACAATTGTGTCCGAAATCGGGGAAGAATTATGCACCAATCAATGTTATGCCCGACTCTAGGGAGGGAGGGCAAACCCAGGGGCATTTTAGAGGCGTAGCCAGAATTTTTGGTCTGGGGGCCAGCAAAAACCCAGGTGGGGCCAAGCTGCCAGTGACCCGAGACGCGAACCCGCCCCCAGCCCTGGCTACGCCTCAGGGGCATTTGTCATTTTCAATTTTTTTTGTGTCAATAGTCCCCACTATGAAGCAGCACTTTGTGGTCAATCATAGTCAAATGCCCCCTACCCCTGTGTAGGCAGTTGCGATATTGAAAAAAATCGATATATCGATATTGAAAAAAAAGTATCGATAATATCGACTATATCGAATTATGCAAATGAGAAAACGTAATTTAGTCAACTTGCATGTATACGCATCACAAACAGTTAAAAAGAAGTGCATGAAACCAGTCATGGTACGTCTCAACGATTTTATATTAACAACGGTTTATCCGTCAACTCAGCTTTTAATTTCAATTGTACATGCACTTGTATCATAAATTCGCAATTGCTGCCATACACACGTTGTCTAAACTTCACCGATGAAAACAATAATTGCCGAATAATCGAAGATTAAGTTGTTTAGTTACAACTTTCAATATTTTCGATATGCGAAAAATTGAATATCGAATATCGATATTTTTGAAATATCGATATCGAAGATTAAGTTGTTTAGTTACAACTTTCAATATTTTCGATATGCGAAAAATTGAATATCGAATATCGATATTTTTGAAATATCGATATTTATCGAAAATATCGATATATCGCAACTGCCTACCCCTGTGTTAGAGGAAAACTACAAAGATGTTATAATCTGCTCAAACAATTTATTTATATTTATAATATAGCATAAAATTTGTACATTCTGAACGCTATAAATTGGCTAAGAGCTGTGTTGATATAACTCGATATAAATGCGGAAATTTCCCGTCGCTCGTGGATTCAATTGTAATCATTATTTTCTCCTTTCTTATTATTTATTTCCTAGTCTATTAAATTATGTATTAAAAAGACAAAAGTTAACAAGATTTTATTTTAAAAAGCTGCAAATGAAGTGATATTATTCATGAACTCACCTTGTGATTTTCCTGAAACACGCCTTGATGTTATGAAATGATGTTTGTGAAAATGATAGGAGACTGGTAACAAGAATGTCAAAACGCCCGACCCTAGGGAGCTTCCTTGATGTCAAATAAAATAAAATCCCCCACCCAGAAGCAGGGAAACCGGGTCAATTCCCAGTGTATCCCCGCCCTCCCTAGGGTCAGGCATAACATTGATTGGTGCATTAGCATTCATAAGATTTAGATTAATAGTCAGTGGTATAAGTTTAGCATGAAAAATCTAATACCAATTAACCCAATAACCCTCCCAACCAAGATATCATGGGGCATTAATAGATATGGAATTTCTTCAATGGAGGATGAGCCCTCCATGAACCAGCCCAAGACTTGCTCGGCTGCTCCATGGACTTCACGTTGTAGTGAATTCTCCATTAGTCCAATACACGCTTGTGGAAAGTATGTCACCTTGGCTATTAATGAGCCTCATTTTCATGATTGTACGTTAGACTTGAACTAATGTCATATACATGAAAACGAGGCTGTATAGCCAAAGTGACATACTTTCTAAAAGGGTTTATTGTGTAATCACGATTTTACTGATATACAGTACCGTGGGAAACAGGCCAACTGACCTTGCTAGGAACTCGCAAGAATTTTTAAGAATTTTTAAAGTAAGAAGAAATTTTAGAGGTAGGAATACTAAACATACTTCAGGAAAAATATTCCTTTTTCCCACCTGAGTTAGCTGGGATGAAATATGGTGTATTTGTTCAATATGTAATTGCATTTTGCTGAGTTGTTCCGGCAAAGCAAATTGAAAAATCACACATGCACAGTTTCAGTTTTGAAATTTTATGGTAAAGAAATGTCAAGCATCGAAATTTAGTTTATGTTTCTGTAATATCTCTGTGTTTACTTATTAGTTTAATAGAGATATGTATTTATATTTAATAGAAGAATACTTTGTACAAACGCTTTATAAAGATTGAACCTCGCTGTTCGAATGTCTGACCTAATCTAGTATGATACCAAGTTCACCCTCCATATACTGTATGGTGTTGTTTACTTGTTCAGAATATGAATAAATTATAAACATTAACTTTAACTATTTATCTATTATAGGTTCAATAAACACTTTTATAAATTTAGGATAATAAAGTGACTAGTACTGCTTTTTACAGTATGAATGCAAGCCAAAAAAGTGTTGGGGTTAATACTAAATATAACATTATAAATATAACAATATTAAATACAACATTATTGTTAATCACAGTAACTCCTTGAAAAGTGTCACTTTATGCATATTTACAGTAACTCTTTGAAAAGTTCAGATCAATGGTTACAAACTTATACTGGTTACAATTTCAATGTGTTGACTGAGTTTTAAATCAGATCAATTATTAACTTTGGGACATCAGCTGTAAATTAAGTCATGAAAAAATAAATCTAAAAATATCTAGTGGTGCTGTTTGTGCCTATATGTATCATTATCATCATTGTAATATGTAACCTGGGCAATCGATTCACAATATGGTGATAAGGTGGTCCATAAACCTGGTTTACAGGGTTGTAATGGTATCCAGGGTCCATGGACATGTGCACAGGATGGTGAGATGGTCCATGGACCAGCTGCACAGGGCAGTAAGGTAGTCCATGTAATGGTACACTGTAAGGTGTTCAATAAAGTTGACTTTGTCTGAGTGGAAAGGACTTGCCATGTGATGGTACGTAAGGTGGTCCATGGACCAGGTGCATAGGATGGTGACAGTAGTCCATGGACCAGGTGCAGAAGGATGATAAGGTATAGTCCAGGGTGCTTTAAAACACAAGCAGGGAAACATGCTCATAGTGCACTGACTGTGTCTGATGTGGCAGGGATTGGAAGTCAAATGTACTTGCATGCATGTTGAAAGGACAGAAAAAAAGAAAAGAGAAATTGAAGAAAAAATGTGAAATATTTTAAGAGGAAACCATCCTTACACAGCAGGAAAAATTGCTGTCTTTAAATGAAAAATATCACTTAATCCTGAATTAATTGACAGTCATTGTCTCATTACCTCTGTAAAGTCAGATTTAGAAAACCAAGGAAATTCGGACAAAATGCTAGGGAAAGTCCACAAAATTCTGGCAAACATATCAGAACATATGTTAAATTAAGGTTATTTTATGATTACAAACCTCCTTACAAATTCGAGCAAACTTTCTAGTGACCCCCTGGAAAGGATTAACCCCATACGCTTATGATTTTTTTCGCTTACTTAAGAAGGCTAGTGACTCAGTAGTTACTTGAAGATACTTATGTAAGGTGAAACCAGGGCGCTGTTGAACATGTGTTTTTAGAGCGCCCGGCCCCTACCTGCCTCCTCCGCAGGCCCTCGTTGCGTCATGGGAAGGTCACGATCTGGCGAGGCCTCTCGAAAGGCCTCACGAGAGGCCTCTCGAAAGCGTGACCTTCCCATGAGACAACGAGGGCCTGCGGAGGAGGCAGGGCCCATACGTGGAACCAGGGCTGGCGCGAGCGTGCGAAATGCGCGGATCAAGCGGGATTTTTAAAGATGAAGCGAAGCAAAAACAAGAAACAAAAATATTTAAAGGGCAATCAAAAAGTACAATTTGTTAAGGTAAATCTATCCTTAAAATGGAAAAAAATTAACTTGTTATAAAATAGAGCCTCTTGCAATTAATTAGTATTGCAAATTACATCGCTGGAGTTGGAAAAGCATTTTTAAAATGTGAAATTATTTGAAGGCATAGCGATTTTATCATAAAATATATTTACATTTTTCAGGCAATGGCAAATTGTAGTCGAGTTTTTTAGCCAGTTTTTTATTAGTTATACTTTCGACCTGAAAAGGTTAGAAAATGGGCTTTTGTGGGCTTTTTTTTTTAATTCAAAGATTTATGACCAGGTCACTTGCGTAATTTACAATGATACAACTTGTGACCTTCTTTTGATAAAGTTAGAAAACAATTGTCAATTTAGAAAACATTGGAAACATTTTCATTAATTTAACATATTCAGGCATTCAAATGCAATATAAAAGTTAGGGAAAATATTCAATGACAAGGAACAAGCAGAAAATTCCGTTTTTACTATGTTAAAGGTTGTTTTATTTCTCTTTTCGAACTTACAATATGCAACTGAAATGTCCGCCAAAAGACTCCAAATTGCATAATGTTCACAGCGATGTCGCAGTTTTACAAGCGCGGAAAACTTTTGACCTTTAAATATTTCATGCACAATATATGAAAACTAGCTTCATTTTTATGTTTTTGGATAATTCAAGTACCTAATTTTTTGCCAATCACCAAATGATAATGGGCTTTTTTAATGTTTAAACATTTTTTGCCTTTATTTTTGACATGCACATGCCAAAATCTACACAATGCCATATGGAATACAAGCAAGCGATGCACAGCGATGTCGCAGTTTTACAAGCGCGGAAAACTTTTGACCTTTAAATATTTCATGCACAATATATGAAAACTAGCTTCATTTTTATGTTTTTGGATAATTGTACCTAATTTTTTGCCAATCACCAAATGATAATGGGCTTTTTTAATGTTTAAACATTTTTTGCCTTTATTTTTGACATGCACATGCCAAAATCTACACAATGCCATATGGAATACAAGCAAGCGATAGTTTGTTGTCGCAGTTTTACAAGCGCGGAAAATTTTTAACTTTTAAATATTTCATGCACAATATATGAAAACTAGCTTTATTTTGATGTTTTTGGATAATTTAGGTACCTAATTTTCTGAAAATCACCAAATGATAATGGGCTTTTTTAACTTTTAAACATTTTTTTGCCCTTATTTTTAACATGTGCATGCCAAATCTACACAATGCCATATGGAATACAAGCAAGCGATAGTTTGTTGTCGCAGTTTTACAAGCGCGGAAAATTTTTAACTTTTAAATATTTCATGCACAATATATGAAAAGTAGTTTTATTTTGATGTTTTTGAATAATTTAAGTACCTAATTTTCTGAAAATCATCAAATGAGAATGGGCTTTTTAAAATTTTTAAACATTTGTTTGGCCTTAGTTTAAACATACTTTTTTCCAGCTTGTTTCATAGGGTGTCAGATTTAAAACGCGAAGTGGAAGGCAATGCTATTCCATGTGTAGATTTCGGCATGCACATGGCCAAAAAAATGTTTAAAAATTAAAAAAGCCCATTTTCATTTGGTGATTTTCAGAAAATTACGTACTTAAATTATACAAAAACATCAAAATAAAAATAGGTTTCATATATTGTGCATGAAATATTTAAAAGTTAAAAATTTTCCGCGCTTGTAAAACTGCGACAACAAACTATCAGTTGCTTGTATTTCTCATAGGGTGTCAGATTTAAAACGCGAAGTGGAAGGCAATGCTATTCCATGTGTAGATTTCGGCATGCACATGTCAAACTGAATAAGGCCAAAAAAATGTTTAAAAATTTAAAAAGCCCATTTTCATTTGGTGATTTTCAGAAAATTACGTACTTAAATTATACAAAAACATCAAAATAAAAATAGGTTTCATATATTGTGCATGAAATATTTAAAAGTTAAAAATTTTCCGCGCTTGTAAAACTGCGACAACAAACTATCGGTTGCATTTAAGAACTTGCTGTTTTTATCAATTTATGGCGCTTCATCTGGTGGAACTTGACAAAAATACATGTGATTGAACATACCTGATTTCCAAACACACATTCCAGTTGCAGGTTTTACAACAACAGCCGTTTAAAAAACTTTTTCTTCGTCTTTTTTTTCATCTTTTAAACGAACGAAGTTGTTTTGCAAAAACAATCGATCCTCGTGAGTGAGATCCCAGACTTATATCACACTACAACATTCCCCATATAATCAGCCGTGATTAAGAATCAGGAAAAAAGATTTTGTCTATAGTAATAGCACAGATCCCAAATCCATTGTGAATTCAGCTTGAATTGTACCTTTTTACGTAGTAATTTTAAAAAGAAGTCAAAACAAACATGCATGCCTGATCAAACCACATCGAATTCGAATAAAAATATGCGGGGGGACCTGCATCACACATAGATCAGGGGCGCGATAGCCGTTTCACCGCCCGTGTTTTACAGCGCCCTGGTGGAACTAAGAAGGATTGCGATTTTGAGGTGATGGTGGGGTAACTGATTGATAAGCGAAGATAGGGTATATAATATGTAGTGAAGGTTGGTTTATATTATTTTAAGTTTGTGATAGTTTGTGCTTTAAATGAATTACGTAAATTCATGAAGACTATGAAGAGTCACGGTCCACATGATGATAGGGTGGTTAAATTCTGGTGGTCTGTGTGATGGTAATGTGGTCCATGTGATGATAATGGGATCCATGGCCAGGTGCACAGAGTGGTAGGGTCAGTGTTAAGTCATACTATATGTGATAACAAGGATGCAAGATTTGTGATAGCTGTAAGGATAGCAGGGGTAAGATCAGTATGATTAGGAACAGTAGGGACCCATTACCCGTCCAATCTGCTGCTCTCACTTTCAGAAACAAAATATAGTGATTATGGAGAACTTATTTTGAAAATTTCAGTGCATCCATGTTTGTCTATAAAAATCAGCAGTGCTGGATGTCCCAATGTTTTTGAGATTGTAATCAATACCCAAAGGCGCTGCTGAATTGAGTTACTGTCTTCTACACTAATACGAAAGGCATTAATTGCCTGATTAATGGAGATGTACACTGCAATATTGTCCAATATTACTAAGTTATGATGTAGAATAAAATATATTTTAGGTGCCATGCATAAAAATGCATAATGTTTTACACACTTAGAAATGAGGAGGAAGTTGGTCAAGAAATTAAGAAATCAAACCTAAGAAGAGAAGACGTGTACGTTGTGACAAAACTTTGGGAACAAAATGGATATGAATATTGTTTGAAAGCATTTGATGCAAGTCTGAAGCGGTATGTAAAGGTTGCCCTTCAGCCACGTTTGGCTATGTGAACCGTAGCCTGCGACGCTCAATGAACGGTATACAGAGTCTGCTAATCCACGACGAAAAGCTTGTATGGTCACGTAGACGATGACGAATAAATGGCCTTTGATCGATGACTTCTGATTAATTAATTATGCAGAAATAATTTAAAAGTTTTGATGTGTTGACTCGCATCAGGCAGAACATTTTCTTTGATCATTGGCATCACATGCCTAACAAACTCTATGACGTATTACACCCTAGCTCCCAGAGCAATGTTTATCTCAGCACTATTAGCCAGCTTAGCTTTATGAGTCAAAACTGAGCAGGAATAATAATTCATAGTGATTTGAATGTTTCGAAATCACAATATATTATGTACTGTTTAATAAACGAGCAGGAGTGTTTATTAGGTTTAAAGGTAATAAAACACGACCTTTATGCGAGTTTATTAAACGGCTTGAAACACGCACGACTACAAATTCAATAGATATACTGCCTTATTAGTATTCTTTATATAAAGAATACTAATGAGGACACGACCACAATAGATACTGCCTTATTAGTATTCTTTATATAAAGAATACTAATTAGGAGTGTTTATCAGGTTTAAAGCCACTACACGTGACATATCATGGTTGACATGATTTGGCAACAAGCTTATGCATTGTTAATGAGTGTTTGAATATAATTATAAACAACTTCGAATGATCATAATAGAACTAGCCAAAAGAAAAACATACTTGGTTATTTGAAACTGTGCTGATTTCCTTAGTTTATTTTACTCATGAGTTATTATTCAGGTAACATGACACACTTACATTTTTACATAGTGAATTGGCGTATTGACAGGTTGGATATGGATTATGTGGATCTTTACCTCATGCACGCTCCCATTGGTGATCATTTATTAGAGACGTATGATGCATTTTTGGAATTGAAGGAAAAAGGTTTGGCAAAGTATGTTAAATTATGTTAAATTATTATCAGCGTCATAATTATTATCGATATTGATTCTCATAACCCAGACGATATATTTTGTGTGAAATAGCAGAGTGGTTCCCTTCGTTTTCCCAAGGAGGATGATATACAGACTAACATCCCGCGAAAGTATCGCTAAAACTTTAAAAGACTACGTTTCAAACAGTTTAACTGTGTTCTTTAATAGGTGAGTGTTAAAATAATCTGATGATGAACAGTCAAACTGTTTGAAACGTAGTTTTTTAAAGTTTAATCGCGATTGTCCCCTTTTGAAATGATTTTCAATAAATTTTAAATATTAAGGGTATAAGTTTCAGAAACCATATCATTAACTATCACTGTGTGTGTGTGTGGGGGGGGGGGGTGCCCCCAGGGGGTGCTATTTTTCATGATAAAGCAAAAAAGTATTAGAGACAAAATGAGATACAGTAATTTGAGTAATAACATGATGATAAATGAACTGTGAACAACAATTACAATTAAAATATAGCAGTCAAGCAAGTACTGCTGTATGTTGATGGGCGGGCGGCACACATGACCGGCACAACTCGGGCCCCAGAGCTGGCAGAGCACCCCCTCCCCCCTACCAGATTATGCTGGATCCATCCATGCATTAACTTATTAATTAACTTCGTTCGTTTAGATCCATTGGCGTATCAAACTTTAATATAGCTATGCTGGAAGGTCTACGTAAAGCTGGAAAACCAACACCTGCTGTTAATCAAATAGAAATACATCCTTACATGAGAAGAGACGAGCTCGTGCAATATTGTCGTGACCATGGTATACATGTAATGGCATTTTCACCACTGACAAAAGGCAAGAGGTTAAAAGAACCTGATATGGTCACTATGGCGGCAACGTAAGATATCAAGTTATTATTTCAACCTTATGATAAATATCAATAGGTTATTAATAGATAAAAACAAATGGAAAATATAGTCACTTAGTAATCATGTTTCTTCAATCACTTAAATCTACTTCAGGGCCTGGATTTGGAGAATGTATTTTTCTAATTCTTAACAGCAAATCCAAATTTAGCTGATACTTACGTAATCACAAGGCTGTTTACATATCGTATTTATATAGGTACAATTAACTAAGTAATTAATTTGTATGTACCGTACTGATTTACTTGACCTGTATACTGTATTTTGGTACATATTTTCATTATTTTGCATATATCATACGTTGCTTATGTATTATACAAATTGTGAAAGATGGATTTCGCAGTTGTAAATTTTAACCTTTAGTGGACCACTGTAATTGCATTAGCTGTACTTGACCGGTTTAAACTGTATAATTCCAGTATACTTTATTTAACTGTACACTTTTTAACCCAAGGTACAAAAAGACAGCAGCGCAGTTATTTATCCGTTGGTGTATACAATCTGGTTTCAGTGCTATTCCAAGATCTTCAAACGAGAAACGTATAATTGAAAATTCTCAAGTATTTGACTGGAGTATAAGTGACGAGGATATGAAAATTTTGGTAAATCTGCCCGCAGTTTTTACACATTTTGTCGAAATGTAATAATAATAATTAACAATTATTGGATGAGGTTTTTGTAATATGCGGAATTATCGAGGTCGAGGTAAGCGTTATCGTACCTGATAACGCTTACCGAGACCTTGATAATTTTGCATATCGCAAAAACCGAATTCAATAATTGTTTTATCATTTTCATTTGTTTGTGTTAAATAGATATCGCTTACTAATCATCGCAGGCTCATTTGCAGATATTTCAGTTATCTGCTAGCAGATAACGGAATTTTCTGTACTGTAGGTTGCGTGATTGCGCGATTTAAGTGTAAGCTCTTAGGCAATCAAATTGCTTTTACCAACTGCAATGTATAATAATTGTAGTTATTATTCACGTAATGATTTTCTCAATTTTGATTGACTCATTCTCCTGCAAATGACGGGTGCAAATAATACGCCAGCTGCAAGTAAAGCGGCATTTTTCTATGACGAATATGTTTGCTCGCTGAAAGTTGCTTTTAACAGCGATAACACCACGAACAAAACAAGACAGGGGGGTTGACAACCTTCAGATTACTTGACACTAACACCGCGGAGAAACGTCTGCCCATGCGTCAACGGGGCAAGGGGGGATCTCGTCACGAAATCACGAAGATCATTTTTCGATTTCACGAGTCACGAAAAACAAAATTTCATTTTCACGATTTTTAGAAACACAGAGGCGTAACAAAGTCTGAAACCATTTAACGCATACTGAATTTAACATTAGAGCCGTTTAAAGGACTATGGAAATTATTGCAAGGCATTACGAAACATTGCGAGCGTCGTACGATGGTTCACGAAGAGGTACAAAGGTATACGATAACGACGTTTACCGATGAAACGAAGAAACCTCAGAAAGACAACCGCGGGAAGCAAATTTATTTATTTTTTCCCCATAATATTAAATTTGGGACCAGTTTTAAACGTAAACATTCACAAGTTAGGGTAAAATATTGGTAAATTCAAGACCCTAGCTAGCCTTTAGCTCTTCAGAATTCACGGCACGCATATTAATCATGATTCACGGAATGGTATTTCTTTAAATCACGAATCACGAAGCACGAATAATTGCTAATCACGAGTGACGAGTCACGAAAATACCCTTGCCCCCCTCGTCAACCTTACTGAAATTTGCCTTGCGAACGTGGTGTCAAGAAGGTCTATAGGCGTTAGAATGGCGCTGATCAAATGGTTTACAACATATTTAAATGAGAGGTCTCACTACACAGAACTGGGTAATGATACGTCAGGTCTTCGAGTCATTAGAGAAGGGGTGGCTCAGGGTAGTAAAGTTGGGCCAACTGCTTTTATTATTAAGGTAAATAATTTACATGCAGTTATAAGAGATGAAATGAGTCGAATCATGGCAACCAGTAGTGACGCTTGTGGTATTATCGAAGATGACACAATTATGTTCATGGACGATTCCACCTTGTACGAAGTTCTTGATGTTTCCAACCATATATCTGGCATGAAAAAATGGCGCTAAATGTAAAAAAGTGTAAACCGATGGTTATTGACTTTCGAAAGAACAAATCTGCCATGATCCCACCGTTTATTGGAAGTAAATGGACACGTGTTTGAAAGAGTTAAATCGTATAAATTATTGGGTATGTGGATCGATGACAACCTAAAGTCGAAAACTAACGTTGAATATTTGGTAAAGAAAGGAGCAAAACGCTAGCTGTTTGCTCTAAAAATGTTGAGGAGTTATAATGCTCCAATGGAAGATTTGAAAGCCTTTTACACGTCTGTTATCAGATCAACCCTTGAGTACTGTGCACATATTTGGCATGGCAATCTAACAAATGAGCAGACACGTGATATTGTTCGTATTCAAAAACGAGCTCTTCGAATAATGCTTCCTGAGTTATCATATGAAGAGGCCTTGGTGGAATGTAATCTTAAAACTCTAGAAGGTCGTAGAGAAGATATGTGTATTAATCTTATAAGTCATTGCTTGATCCTGGTCATAAACTGTATGATTTGTTGCAACCTAAAATGTGAAATTAGGAATAGAGAAACAAGACTAAGTGGAGGAAAGTTTTATAATTTTAACTGTCGGACACAACGTTTTAAAAATTGTGCAATTGTCTATGGAGTCGGACAATATAATAAAGTTTAATTAATATTTTTTAGATTGAAATAGGAGTATCCTTGTAAATAGAGTAGTGTATATGATATATATTCTTCATTTTTAACTGTAATTCGCATTATAATTTAGTGATTAACTACTTAATGTGAAATTTTAGAAAATAATAATAATAATAAGTATTCCGAGGCGAAGGTTGTCAAAAACTCAAAATGGAAGCGACAAGGAGCGACTTCGATGTTTTACTTTTTCTGTGAAAATGCAATTGAAATAATGAATGTGACAACCTAAAAACTGGAAATAATTACAGTCTGCATGTGCAAGAAGTAATATAATTATGGCATGCAAGAAGATGAATCAAAGGTGACTGTCGATAAATTTATTGTATAAAAAGTTCTTTAACTGAACCATACAAAGATATTTGTATTTGCTGACTATTTATTTTGTTAACTATATTTAAGGGTAATGATTTACTCTACAATTTAAGCGTGTGCAAATGCTTAACTCTTTGATAGTTTGCGTAACTTTTGCTAACAGTTGGGTATTCGACAATTTTTCAAGAAATGTTCACACGCTGAAACGATAATTTAAATTCTGTTTCTTTTTAGATTTTAAATGTTAGAAAACTTTTTATTAATGTCTAAACTACCCGTCTAGTGTATTTTTTTGTTTGTTTCACCCATGTTTTTGTTTACAATTGGCATTTAAATTCCTCGCCATATTTTCTAGTAGGCTACACGCACACGCGCAGACGTTTTCCGCGGTGTTCTTCACACCACGTTAATCGCAAGGGTAATAGACAATTCCCATTATAGACTAATTTATTATCTTGGCCAAAAAGTATATTCGCGGAAAGAGCATACTATAAAATGAGTAAAATTGCAAAGTTGGTTGCTAAATGTTGTAAAATACCACATTTAGGCCGAAAATGGTAGCAATTTCCGCACGCGATAGGTCTACAAAAGTAAACAATTATTTTCCGTATTTTACAACATTTTGCAACCAAACTTTGCAATTTTACTCATTTTAGTATGCTCTTTTTAGCTGTGGTGATTTATTTACATCTCTTTGTCTAGTTTTAAAATTAGTCTATAATGGGGGTTGTCTATTGACGGGGCTTTATTGCAAATACTCTGCGCATGCGCACTTTAAAAGAATATTTTCACCTGCAAGTTATCGATTTGCTCATGCGCACTTGATCCTTACTTGAATTAAACACGGCTCGTCGTGCAGAGCTAATGAATTCTCGTGCAATTTGAAACGCCCTCTGGTGAGTTCTTCAGAAACTCCAAATTGAACTAGACCCGTTATTAGTTAACAAAAAGTAGCTTTGAGTTTGTCACCTAAATGCATGCATCGTATTATTTCTCGTTTAGAATTCTAAACCACAAGCAACTTGTATTATTGAAACGTCGCCCATTTTTAATATTCATGACATGAAGCCATCATGGACGTCTTCCTAGTGATGCTCCACAAATTCAGAGGTAATTGACTTTTTTACCAATAGTGAAATCCTGAAATTGGAATGCGTCATTCGGTCATTGCATTGTTATCAAGCAAATGTTTACGTTCCTTTTTTAGCGCAAGTCGAGCTAGAAAAATATGCCTGGTATTCAGGTTAGAACTTACGGCAATGGATTTGGAACCACAGTAATTGGTTAAAAATTGTTGTGATTCCCTGTGACAATTTGTAGTGCTATATATTTGATTTTTAGTGCAATGTTTCCATGGAAACGTTGCACTATTGTGATGAGTGGCGAAATTCAAGCGAGAGATACATAGAGTAAACTTTCCGGGGGGAGTTGCAAATGTTATCCCGATGCCATATCTAAAAAAACTTCAAGGTTGGAGAATTTTTAACGTTAAAACGGTATTTATAGTAATAGTAAAATTTCTTAAATTTGATTTAGCTTGACAATCAATGTTTAAACGTCTACATTACAGCAATGTTAAAAGTTTACTGAGATAAGAAATATGGGGATTCGTGCCATTAGCACCCCCCGTATCATCGGATTTTCGTGAGAACTGCAAGTCAGCAAAATCAGCACGCACAAATAAATATGGCGATATGTATGAGTGCTGCTCGAAATTTTAGAACAGGCCTTGGGCAAACGATTTAACATGGATATGTATTATTTCGATGCAATTTTAGACTCTATGTTGGGCCGCTTCAACTCGCCACATTTCATACGAGGCCCGAGTTTTTGCATGTCTATTTATGATTTTCTTTATAGGAATATTTCAATTTAAATCTCGTAGACGTAACTCAATTTATGTCACGAAATTTAGTTATACAGCTATA